GTGTGTGTGTGTGTGTGTGTGTGTGTGTGTGTGTGTGTGTGTGTGTGTGTGTGTGTGTGTACGCCCGCGCGCGCGCAGCCCTAGAAGAGAGAAAGATAAATATAGAGAGAGAATGAGAAGAGTTTGGAGTTGAGTTGTCGGCGAATGAGGGCACTGAGGCTGGCGGCAGAGGGTGAGGCCAGACAGAGGCTATTGATCCACCAGGATCCACCTACCAACTCACGTTAGTGGGATAGGCTCGGTCTGAAACGTCGATCTACGCTGTAGGGAAAACGTGGAAAATGTGTTTCGGGCAAGCAACCCTTTCGGGCAAGCAAAGAGAGTGTGTTAGGCTTCCCGCGACAACTCGACGATGTAGTTGTGACAAAATATGTATTATACTTACATATATACAATATATATACAATATACATATATCTGCTCGCGACTTTCACACGATATCATAGCATTTTTCTAACGCAAAATAACGAATTAAATCTGCATAACATCGCCTCACTTCTGCCACTTTGTCTTATAAGAATGAAAATAATTCGCGTCACGATATCCAGCAGGCAGCTTCTTTCTTTCCAGAAGCTTTGAACTTGCCAAGATGTTGGCGAGATCATATCCGCGTTTTTTCTTTTTTTCTTTCTTTCTTCTCGTCACTTTTTGCAATCCAGAAGCAGAGGCACTTAAGGTGCTAAAATAAAATTTGCATGCCGAACACGGCGCGGTTTTACGCATTGCTTAGACGAAAAATAGCAGCAGGCAGTTACACGCACATGTACGTATATATATTTCCTATTACGATAGCCGGTAACGAGTATCTTGAAGGATATGATCTGGTCTAAGTATATCGCGTAAAGAGCGGATGTTTTTCATAAATAATGTTCTAGGAGCGGATTCAATTTTCTCTAGGTACTTTTAAGAGGTCAGATCACGGTATTTAAAATAAAAATAGCACTATATTAAGAATCTATCAAGAAAACATTTTTTTAAGTTTTTTTTCTAGTGTTTGACATGAAATAATTCTTGGTAATTATTTACATTAAGGGGGACCTCAGTGGTTTTGATGACCTTGAAATATGTTGTCAAGGTTAACATTCTGAACAACTTTTCCTTATACATATGACCGCCGCTCGTCTTTAGTTTTCGAGATATTCACAAAAAACTAAGTACACGCTCAGGTGGCAAAGCGCATACAGAGACGGGCTACGCCCGTCCTTGCGATATATTCTTGAACTAATGCCATAACGGTGAAAGCAGTAATTACTGTAAACAGAAAAAAAATTATATACTATCTCGTATTAGTATGTAGGCATTAATGATATCGATATCGAGCAAACCTATCGGGTAAGCAATATATAGAATAATCTAATAATGATTTATATCGAATCGAATAAATAGTCAAATTTATTGAATATATATTCTATAGACAACATAAAATGTTAAAAACTAGAAAAAAGAAAACTTAATTCTATGATAGCAATGGTTTCAAATTTTTTTAATAATAAAATAAAATGATTAAAGTTTTTAAATAACTAATAATAAAATGTTTTAAGTAATTAATAACAAAGTTTTTTAACTTATTAATACTTTAAAGATCATAAACAAGAAACACAATACAAATTTTTTAATACTTTACATTAGTGACTTCCAAATAGAATGTATTTTGTTCTTAAATAGTAAACTTCAAAGATCTGAAATAAGACTAAAAGTTAAAAAATATAATGTTTTATTATTTTATTTTTAAACTTTAGTTTTTGTAGAATATATTTAAAGAAAGTTTTAAATAAGTTTATTCAATTAATAATTGCACTTTTATTTATTGTGTACAAATAAACTTTCACGTATGACAAATAAACTTTCACACATGTTACAAATAAACTTTTAATGAATAAACTTTGTATTATAAATAAACACAATACAATATATAAATTAAATTTATAATTTAGAGAGATAATAACGCACAAATTTAATAAATAATCATCTTTACATAACGCATTTAAATTTTTTGTGATGGTAGATAAAAATATATTCAGAAGAATAACAAATCAGATTATGAATGAAAGAACTTAATCTTTACAAATTAAATGTGAAAGTATTAATATCTCTTTAATTTTAAATATATACATAATAAACTTTAATCTTTATAATGTATTAGATTATATTCAATATATTAACCTATGTTCACGCACATAAGTACATAAAAAATGTTCAACTTATATAAACATAAGATCACAGAATAAAAACATAAAAAAATGTTAAGATTTTCAAGATTCGGAATATACTGATACTAATTAGAAACTAATAATTACAAAGTAAATAATAAAGTAGGAACTATTTGTATTAGTCAATCATGTTTTTTGTAGCGTAAGTAAGAAAAACAGCCTCATTTATATGACGACTTGTTTATCAACTTCGTTTATCGGTAACCACGTTATTAAGAGCCGAAACAATTCTTTCTGAAGCAACTGAAGATCCCATCATTATAGAATATTTTAAGGCAATTTCTGTGAGTAGAGGAGTCCATGTTTTCAGCTCTGCCAATATGTAATAGGATCTTCCGATAATGATAGCACTTCTGAATTAAAATATAATTTTAATTCAAGTGGCATTTGACTAGTAAATAATTCATCTCTATCTGTATTTCTTTTTATTCTTTTTAAATGCTTCGCCCAAATAGAGATTGACTCTATCTCTTCGGTTACATTAGATGAGTTCTTTTCTTGCAGTAAAGAGAGGTCTCGCTGCTTTGTTATATTCCTATAATCTCTTGGCATATCTGCGATATAGCTTCTGTCTGAAGCAGAGGAGAAAAAACATATGCTCTTTTAAATCTGGGATCGAGAAGAGTTGCAATACAAAGTAGCTTATTTTTTTCGAGAGGCATATATCTTGTTTCAATTTCCTTCAGTAGATTACGTTTNAATTCTATTGCAAGACAAGTAGTAGGCTTTAATTCAGTCAATGTATCTCGCACATTATGGCACAATGGTAAAACGGTACTGGCAGTAACATATTTATCAGCTGATATATAAGCAGTTGCTTCTTTAAAAGGCCTTAGAAGAGAAATTATTTCAGATATTATTTCAATGTTCGATCCTGCCAACATTTGAGGACCATCTTTATGATCTTTAGTTGCCAAAATTGTTGCTAAAATGGGCGCTAGCTTTTCAAATTTTTCTAGCATTTCGAGAGTAATAATTCTACCGAGTGAAAACATCTTGCGTGAGATACAATGTATCACCTTCACTTTTCCCACGGTTTAGTTGTCCTGCTCTGAGTGCATCTGATGCAATTGTACTGTGTTTGAAATATGTTACAATATGTTTGCGTAATTATTTTTCCGAGCTCAATTGTACTTTTTAAAGAATTTTGAACGACTAAATTAGTTATATGCGCAAAACATCGAATCTATTTTGGTAAATGTGAAAACAATTCTTCCATGACTATATTTTCTGCCGTGTGTTTTTCAGTTAAATGGATTGCTCCCAAACAAGCAGACTCAAGAATGGACGTTTTTGAATTGATAAAATAACTAGTTATCACGAGAAAGCTTCTAGTTGAATTTGCGATTGTGCAAATGTCTGACGTTAAAGATATATAAGGGACTTGTTCTAAGTATTCTTTGAGTTCTAATTTAAATTTTTCATATTTTTGTTCAATAAGAATTGTTAAAGTTGACCTGGAAGGCAGTTTATACTTTGGACAAATTATCTTGAATAAGTGAATAAAACCTTCTCTTTCTACAGTTTTGGTGAGCATATTATCTCGACAAATCATATGAATTAAAGCTTCGGTAATTATGGTGTTTTTTGATCCTCCGCTTTCAAAACTCTTCTTTTTATTAATAATCTCCAATACTGTGGGCTGTATGCAGACACAGGACTCGCTGTAGAAGTTTTAGTGGTGAGAGAGTTGTGTGATCTATCTAAAAAATACAAAAATAATTAAACTTTGGGTATTTAAAAAAGCTTTAAATTCTATAAGTTGCAATTTATTATTTATAAAAAATATAACTCAAAAAATAAAAACAAGTATACGAGATAAAATATGTACGAGATAGTGTCCCAAAGCACATTTTATTCTAGAGACTAGCTGGAAAACATACACTTACATAAGTAGAAATAAGTAGATATAGCTTTGTATAGAGTACTTGTAAGTAAATATTGTCTTTACTTGTTATATCTGCTGCTACTACTGGATTGTTCTTTATCATTTGTGTCGTTCATAATAATTATATTATTACTATCATTTTGCATAAACGAGTTTTGCTTCTGTAACAAATTTTTTTTTTTACAAACTTTGTATGTCTTCTTCCTACTTATACATATTAGAAATTCAATCACAAATAAGTCTTTCTTTAACTTATTAATAACAAATAATTTTTTATTAGTGTCATATTTTGTTAATATTCATATTCTACTTGCATATATTGCATTTAATCTACAAATATATAGACCGCAATAAAAAGTCTTAGTCGCTAAAATCGCGTCTAGATAATTGAAGGTTAAATAATAAATACAATATTAAACACAATAATTTTTTTCTAGCAAAAAGGTACATATTAACACAGAAAGGTACATATCAACATTCCGTTTCTGTTTTTTTTTTTTAATATTAATCAAAAATAGAACGACTTTTGTGTCGACAGAACCAATAGTGAATAGATATAATAGATATAATAAAATTATGCAAATTATTTTAAAAATAGTGTAAATATTACTTACGTCTAGGATTTTCTTTGTCAAGCATGTTTTGAATGCAAATAAATGCTTGCATTTTAAGTGAGTCAACAGGTTAGAGGTTGTCCCAGAAGACTTTATTTCTTTTGAACACAAATTGCACTTCACAATTTTTTTGTTTCCCGATATTTTAGAAAAATAATTCCATACTAAAGTCATATTGCTATGACCCACTGAATAAACACTGAAAAAAAAAAGACTGAAACGATTCGTTTCTTGTCGTTACATGTTTCATTTGATTTGGTGCGCTATTAGACCGGTTAGCCCATATGCATTCTGAGTCATTAAAACTGTTACATTGTTTTACGTTTTGCGCATAAACATGGTCACTGCACATAGAACATAAACTTATATAATAGACGGAGCATTCGTATAAGAGGAGTTGAAGACTTCATTAAAAGAGATAGAAATAGTCGTGGAGCAGTTTTCTTTTTTTCTAGCAGTGAGTTGATTGGTGGCTGCGGCCGAAAGCAACGAAGATAGAGTTCGAGAGAGAGACAGTTGAGAGAGAGTGATGGTGAAAGGTGATAGCATAGACTTGTGAGATGATTGGTCCCCCACCGCTCTTATCGTAAGAGAGAGAGACAACCACTCTAGCACTATTTCTGTCCTTTAATGTTGTTTTCAACTTCCTCATATGAATGCTCCGTCTATTATATAAGTCTATGATATAGAACGCAGCAATATGGGCAATGCTACGGTTATTGGCCAGGAAATATCACGATAGCCAATCAACGTTTAAACGTTGTAACCAATCCAACTTTCATTGGATAGCAAGCGTCTTGTGTATATAGGAACTTTTCTTAAACCTTGTGTCCACTCTAGAAATCGATCCGAGATCTCGAATTAAAAAAGAATTGACCATTGGGTGCGTTCAGACAACTCAACAGTTGTACAACGGTTGAGAGATAATCACTTCTGATTGGATCATACTTTTGGAACCGCAGCAGATTTTGAAGAATAGTCCTATCATGAGTGATGATCTCTCAACCGTTGAGTTGTCTGAACGCACCCAATCACTTATAATTGGATCATACTTTTAGAACCGTAACATATTTTGAGGAAATAGTCCTATCACAAGTAATGATTTCTCAACCGTTGAGTTTTCTGAACGTATCCATTGCATTCGAACAATTTGACCAATTGATCAATGCGATTGGTAAATAAATATTTTCATGTATTAAGGCTGCGTTCCAAGTTACGCATATGCGCGCATTTATCTATACTATATGTAACGTGTACTATAGATAAATGCGAGCATATGCGTAACTTGGAACGCAGCCTTAATACATAAAAATATTTATTTTATACATATATATATATATATATATATATGAATAGCTAAAAAATAGTTATTAGATTTTTTATTCATAAGTTTTATATTCAAAATTTCGAATTGATATAACAAAAGTATCGAATGTTCGATTATATCAAATATCGATAAACATCTCTAGTAGGCATGAAGGACTTTGCTTATCTCTTTGCATCTTTTCAAAAAAAATTTACTCAACTCACTCTCTAATACAATATGTTACTGCAATATAATAACGTACATTATGCATTGTGACATTAATGATATTGTAATAACACAGGTTAGGTTAAGTTAAATTTTTTCGCGGGATTGCAGGGAGAGGGACGAAATTTTTCTCCTTGCGGGGTGGCTGCGCTTCCCTGCCTACACGCTTACAACACGAACAAAAAAAACAACATAAAGAATGAAGTATATAATCGTAAGATAAATTTAACTAAAAGTTTTTGTTAATCTCGAAAACTCTCGAAAGCCGAGCGGCGGTCATATGTATAAGAAAAAGTTGTTGAGAATGTTGACCTTGACAACATATTTCAAGGTCATCAAAATCGGTGAGATCACTCCTAATGTAAATAATTACCTAATTCTTCGATACTACACTCTTTTCTTTTTGTGAAGAAAGAATTTTAATCAAAAGTTGCACATTATATAAATTGTATTTGAAATTAATTTATATTTGATAAAATAAGATTACTGTATATTTGATAAGTTTTTTTATAATTATCATTATTATAATTATTATTTTCATTGAACATGAAAAAAACTTTTAAGTCGGTGATAATCGCATAAACATATCATATTTTCTGGTAGATATATTAATTATTATTTACACAATCCAATCAATCAAAAAATAACAACAATTTATTCAGTAGTTGATAGAGCAATATTACTGTCACATCCAAAGTTCCACAAATAGAATCTACAACAATGTATTAACATCTTAATTAACAATAATTACCCCATATAACTAATTTTCGAGAAAATAAATAAAAGACTGAGAACGTTGTTTTCAACTAAACTAATCACAAGATAAACAATACTGATACAACTGATAACAACATAGAAAAACTGCTTTATTTTGTCATGCCCTTTATGGACAATAACAATAAATTTAAAATTAATAACACGACATTCAAACCAGCCTACAGAAATTTAAACCAATTGTTTAAGTTTATAGAAACCCACAAAGACATTATACCCCAACAAAAGAATAAAAATTTTGTATATCGTATCGCATGTGAGCAATGCGATGCAAGCTACGTTGGACAAATAAAAAGATAATTATTCACTCGACTTAATGAACACTGTAATTATATTAAGAAAGAACAAACAGAAATTTCCATCTTAGCAAAACATGTAATAGAAACGGGGCATAAATTTAATTTTAAATTAACAAGAATACTAGACAATGAAAAAAATTATTTTAAAAGATTAACTTCAGAAATGATATATGTAAAAAAGCAGAAGAAGAGTTTGAATCTAATAAAAGACACAGAACTATTAAATGATATATATTTACCGATCATTGATAAATGTGAATACTAACACACTCATAGATGGAGCGTTGTCGCATGTCTGATTCAAACTCCTCAGTCTGTTACAAAATACACGACAAACATGACTCATTTCATTTTCTGTAATTGTTTAAGTGTTTTTGAATTTCTTAATGTTGAGTTATACTGACTAAATTTGACAACTCTATGATTAACGGTATGTTGTAATTGTTAATCCAGTATTTATATAATTGATTGTAAAATAATTTTAGATTGTAAAATAATTTTAGATTGATAAGGACTTAAAAAATAAAGTCGAAACGTCTCAATTACATTTTTTAATTTTTTCTACGGCACAACATCCTGCCATGGCTCATTATTGCCCTGCTAATTGATTCTATTTATTGGAGTTACCAAAAGGAGGTCACACCTCATTTATCACTTATATCATATTTTCTCAAAACGACATTTTTGAATGATGCTATTTGAGATTTTCTTTTCTATATTAATTTGATTTTCTTCTTTAATTGCCAGGCATACGATTTATATTGGCGAGTCTCTTCGGGTCTTAATATCCTCGTTATCACCGCACGATATTTCTTCCGGGTAGGCGATGTTTCCTTCAGACTGACAACCCTTCACTTGAGAGCTAAACAAATTCGAAGAGGTCTCTTTAGCTGTGAGGTCTCGCGAGGGAGCGAGAACGTGCGGAGATAAATAAATTGCGGGGGTGAGCACACTCATATAACGAGAGAGAGAGAGAGAGAGAGAGAGAGAGAGAGAGAGAGAGAGAGAGAGAGAGAGAGAGAAAGAGAGAAAGAGGGGGAGAGTGAGGTAAATTGTGCCGCCGGAGACAAAAGAAGCGGGACTCACGACGAAAACGTAAAGAGATATAACGTTATGAATTCATTTATGCAACACAACTTGGCCCATTCGGATTACAATAGCGCGAAATTTAATTGGATCGTTTTTACTTGCAATGCTCAAGGTATGATTGTAATAAACGCGAGCCTCGGAGCTTACTTGGATTTTACTTCGTTTCTTTTTCATTTATCTCTGCTTGTTTGTCGCCGAGAAACAAAAGAAATGTTATCGAGTTTCCTTAGAACTCAGGGACGTCTCTTTAGCCTGGCACATGACGAGGAGGACACTCGTTTTCTTTCGATTTTTGAAGGATACGTTTTGTCCGTCAGTTTTGTCATTTTGCAACGGTATCAACTAGACTCTCACTTAAAAACGCATTCTTTTTTTATTGAGAGTCTTTCTGCTTTTCAATAAACAAATAGCTGTACAGAAATATTTCTATATTGTGTGTGTGTATATATGTATACTAGTAACTATACATAAAGTATACAATTGTATTTTAACGGAATTGGTAAAAAAATGAAATTGAGATAATCTCTTTGGTTGCTTGCGTGCGTACGCGAGTGCATATTTGATGCGCAATCTTTCTGTGAAAATAGACTTAAACTTACTTGGGAAACGGATTGTTATTACAGCAAAGTATTCAATTGCATAAAACAGATACGCTCAAGAAACTTAGGACAAGAATGAAAAAACAAAAAAAAAATGAGACAAGTTAAAGAAGTAATGAGAATAAGAGAAGGAGAAACAGAGTGCGTGTATGGGGGGGGAAGAGAGGAAGTCACTGTTGTGTGTGTTGCATAAATAGTAACCGCTACGCGGTATGGTAACGTCTATCTATCGTTTAATTCATTTTATCTACACGTTTTAGACGTGACATCCGCAGTTTGAAACAAATTAATTCCACGTTTGAATTAATTGGCAGATTTGCGATTCTCGGCGGAAACTTTTGGCACAAGTTTATCGCTTGTCTCTGTGATTATGCATTGAGACCGTTTGTCATACAATGACGAAGAACATTCTCCTTCTGAGAAATTTGTAACGTGTTAAGATCGCACGCGTTTGCCATTTAAATGATAAAATAAGAAAACTTAATATTCTATTTGCGTTTTTTGCATGCAGTATATATGTACGCGTATACGAAGAATTCTAATGAAATCTCAAAATGAAAATTTTTCCTTAATTTTTATAGTCGCAAAGAAGTACACATATGCAGAGACTCCGACCTGTACTATAAATAAACGGTATAAACGCGTGTATGTTTACTTGTTACATGTCTTTATGTATATTTACTTTGTAATCTAAAACAAAAAAAACATTTATATGTAAAAACATTCGGCAGCCGGTTGTCTCACTAGAATTATGAGAAGTAAATATATACACATATAAATATATACATATGTATGTATATGTAACTATTATAAAAAATATATATACAAGATGTCCCACCTAACTTGAGCATCCTAAATATATCTCGCTTATTTTTTTAACAGGAAGATGCCGAAAAGAGTCATTATTCAGTTTGAGGAGACAAATACTGTAATAAACAAGGGTAAATATATAGAATAGAAAAGCCCTCTCTGATCGGCTTCTCGTTCTCATATATTGTAAATATGATCTTCCTGAGTACGTTTCTAAAAGTTTTAGCCGTCGCTCATTGTTTATAAAAAAGTTATAAACAAAAACAGTTTCATAAATAAATTTTTATTTTCCAACATTATGTACATTTTGTTCGTGTTGTAAGCGTGTAGGCAGAGAGGGACTGCGCTCTCCCGCAGGGGGAAAGGCTCCGCTCCTTCCCTTGCTCCCCTCTCGAGGAAAAATAGGAACCGATTTCTGATTAAGTGTTGCTAAAAACCACGTACATACTATCGACATGAAGCGACATGTAATCGGAAGTCGTTCTTATTTTTTCTCAAGGGAGGAGCAGGGGGAGGGATGCAGCCCCTCTCTCTGCGGGGGGCGCAGCCCCCTTGCCTACACGCTTACAACACGAACAAAAAGAACGAAACGAACAAAAAGAATGAAAAAGTAGCCTTCATTGCCTATATGTATAGGATAGGGTTTCTTACAAACGAAATATTTACTTTTCAAATATGTAGTCTAAATAAATATATAGAGGTCGAAAACTTTCTTCACTAACTAACATGTACGACTTGTCAGTACGTGTCAGACCGTTAATCGCATACCTTCGATTTCAAAGACACTGTTCTAAATCAATAAAAGTGTATGCGTGGAGACAATGTGTTCCACCCTCTCTTCGGAAGGGCTTCACTATCCAAAAACTAGACATATAGATTTAGCTTGAACTTTGTTTTGCGTGGAAAGTTGCACTGAAGGAGCAGGGGAAAGGGTGAAGCTCCTTTCCCTGCGGGAAGCGTAGCTCTCCCTTCTGCCTACACACTTACAACACGAAAAAAATGATGATTTAACAATTCTTTGATTTTCAAATAACGATTGGACAATTTTGGCGCTCGCAAGTAATCCAACAAGCCAAAAAGCATTATGTACCGCTGACTTAAAAGGAAGTCGATCGGTTCAGCAGTTTCTAAGATATGACGAAATCTTAAATTTGTTGAATCAAATAATACTTAATATAATAATATTAATATATGTATATATTTATACATATATATGTATATTAATGTTAGTAATATAATTAGAATGTATGCTACAAAAAAAGAGTAATATCTCGGAAAACTTACCTTTTCAAAAAAAGGCAAAAAAAGGCGCCAAGTACACGCACCAAAACACTATGTTTTCTCTTTATTTTAGTAGTTTGTTTTTATTTTATTCAAATTTAAAATCCAAACACAACCAAAAAATAGTATTAAAAATAGTATTATTGTGCATTGTTACAATTATGACGCATATTTCTACAAAATTGCTTTCTACAAAATCTGTTCTATAAAAGAAGTGAGCAAGAGGCACGGTAGTGCCTCGCGCCAAGTTCGCACGCGCAACGAAGTGGCGCTCGAACTGCGCGAGCATACTATGCCTCTGATACGCAAAAATCAGGCATTTCAATGGAAGGGAGATTTTAATCAGCCATTTTTTAATAATGACTTTACCGATTGACTTCTTTTTAGTCTCGTTCACGTTAAAAATATTTAAAAAATATATATTTTTGCGTTTTTGTTGTTTGTTTCTGATTTTTTGAGATATACGATGATAAAGTTTTGAAGTGAAAAATTTACGATTCAGAAACGTAGTCATCGTGCGATCAACTTGTGTGCATGTTCGTATGCCTGCAGCCAGATGGCATACATATACAAGCGCATTTAGAGTCTCTATAGTATAAGTCTGGACACAGTTAGGAATTTGACAAAACATGACGAAAACGATCAAGAAACAATCGAGTCACGTTACGAGTAAGCATCGCAAAGACAGAAAATACATGTAAATATAATATAAACTTTTTTTAAATTATGAAAACACAAAAATAANTAAAATAAATAAGTTATAATATAAGATCAAGTAAAATATATTTAAAATACGTTTTAATGCTATCACAAACATTTTCTAACCTTTAATATTATATTGAATGGTCATTAACAATTATGTATTTTGTAGAAAATGTCTGGTTGCTGCATACCGAATTGTCACAATTCAACAGAAAAAGGTTTTTCAATGAGGAGTTTTCCAGCAGATATAGAACAAAGAGCATTATGGATTCAAAATATTAATCTTATAATTATTTTTATAAAATGGAAATTATTATAAAAATATATATATATATATATATATATATATATATTTACCTTATATTAAAAACAAAAATTATAATGTAATAAAATTTTTTATTGGAAAAATGGCTAACATTTGTTGTAATGCATTAGGAACTTGTTGCAATTTATTTAAGAAAATTATGAAATATTACATTTCACTTCGAATAAAAATTGATTGTAAGAAAGGTAGATTAAAAAATAAAATTTATAATAGTAAAACTATGGCATGACATGCTATTATAAAATAAGTAAAAAAGTAATATTAAATAATATTTTAAATAATATTTTTATTTTTATTAAATATTAATTTACTATTAATAATATTTGTATTTTTATGTTTTTTTTTAATGTGTTTATTGTGTGCATATACTTGTACAATATTTTATTGTGTTTTTATATGTGAAATAAAACGTAATAACAAAGTTATCTTCTTATATTGTCTTATATTCTATTCTTATAGCCTGAGCATAATAAAGAAAATATTAAGAATAAAAATTAGAAATAAAAGTTAAATGTACTATACAATGACAAAAAATAAAATATAAATACATATAAATACAGGAAGTATGTCATGGTTTGCATGATATACAGCCTATATTTATATACATTTATATGTTATATTTTATTTTTGTGCATTACATTTAACCTCTGTTTGTAATTTCTATTCCTAATAATTTTTCTATTCTGCTCAACCCTTATATTGAATAATACCGCGCGTGAAGTACAAATTTAAGATATCTTATTAGTTCCACCATATTTTATCACAACCAATAAGATTGAAGACAACTTGGTCCAGACTCATACTACAGGGACTTTAAGGCTGAATCCTCATGCAGACACCGGCGCTTTGACACCGAGCATTGACTGGTAAAAAGCGGATGGTGAGGGTAAATGGCAGCTCTAATTTACCCTCACCACTTGCTTTTCACCAATCAACGTTCGGTGTCAAAGCGCCGGTGTCTGCATGAGGATCCAGCCTAAGTGGTTCGCGTTATTTGCGCCGTCAAGATCTCCGATACTACCGATTGCTTCGACAAATGTTCCTCGCGGCGTTAAACTTTCGTATAAACTTTCAATTTATAATCAATTTATGATAAAAAATTAAAAGCTTTACACTGTTTAATAAACTGATTCAACTATATACACACCGTCATCCATGTTTGCTTTAACCCTCGGAGAACACACTGGGTCAATTTGACCTTGTTCGTCGACTTTGATCAAAATATTTTGCTTTTTTGTAACATATTTTTTACAATGTTAATAATGTTAACGACACTTTAAAACTATATAGGCATATTCCAAACTGTTCAAAATATATCCGAAAATTTTTTTCAAGCCAATCGGATAAGTGCATTTTAAATGGTAGCATCTCAAAAAGTGGACAGGGTCAAAGTGACCCAGATTGTTCTTCTTGATTGAAAAAATAGGTGTGTTCCCCCCCTCCCGAGGGTTAACAGCCATTTAACAACACTTTTATTATTTAAAAAATCTTAGAGCTAATTACACACATCATTATTTATAAAAAATTAATTCAGAAAACGGAGAAAAAAATTTGTTTACGCTGGCAACATTTCCAATATAACTTTTTTTAAAAACTGTTTTGAAACTTGGCACAAATAAGTATAAATTATAAACTTTCAAATAAGTATAAACTATAAACTTTTAATTTATAATAAAGTTGATAAAACTTTAATTCAGAATACGAATAAAAAAATTTTTTTCGCGCCGGCAACATTTCCGATGTAGTTTTTTAATAAACTGTTTCGAAACTTGGCACGAAATAACTACAAACTGTGTACTTAAATTTATGAAGTAAAAAATTAATTCAGAAAACAGAAGAAACACTTTTTGCATAAAAATCAGACTCCGGCAATACCTCTGATCATGGTGAGCGCTGCGCTGTCTTATCGCGGCGTGGTCGTTTTACGCCGGCAACACCTCCGATATAACTTTTTTTTATTAAACTGTTTTGAAACTTGGCACGAAATAACTACAAACTATATATTAAATGTATGCTAGAAAATTAACTCAGAAAACGGATTTTTTTCGCATCGGCAACATCTCCGATATAACTTTTTTCAATAAACTGGTTTGAGACTTTGCACAAAATAATTACAAACTATATACTTTAATTTTATGAAGTAAAAAATTAAAAATTAATAAATTATATATTGATTTAATACTACAAAAACTACTTTTTTTATAAGACTTGTTTTACAAAGTTAAATACTACAAAATACAAAATGTGTGATATATCAAAAAACTTGCTTTTTTAAAAAAAAAAGATAAGAACAGGCGCCAAGTACACGCAAAACACGTATTGTATTTAAATTAATAAATTAAAACTTGATTTAATACTGAAAACAATTTTTTTTCTATAAACCCTGTTCTACAACATTATAGACTACAAAATATTCTGTTTTACTATAAAACTTTTTTTCTCTAAAATGTTTTTACAAACTACAAAAAGTTCTTTTTCCATAAAACCTGATTTACAAAATATTATATACTACAAAACATTCTTTCTCTAAAAACCTGTTTTACAAAAGAAGTGATATCAAAAAGTAACACTAAGTAAACTTTTGTACGTTATTATATTGAAAAACAATATACAATAAAAAACAATATTGAATAGAAATACAGTTTACAATAACAAACTTGTGTCAAAAGTAAGACTATGCCTTAACTTTTTTCCGTTATTATATACTACAAAACATTCTTTCTCTAAAAACTTGTTTTATTGTTGAAAAACAATATTATGATTATGATTATGAAAAAAATGACGATTTTTAAACATAAAAATTATAACTCCGAAACTACTTATTTCTGGATATACTATATATATATATATATATAATTTTTATGTTTAAAAATCGTCATTTTTTTCATACTCATAATCATAATATTGTTTTTCAACAATAAAACAAGTTTTTAGAGAAAGAATGTTTTGTAGTATATAATAACGGNTATATATATATATATAGTATATCCAGAAATAAGTAGTTTCGGAGTTATAATTTTTATGTTTAAAAATCGTCATTTTTTTCATAATCATAATCATACTATTGTTTTTCAACAATAAAAAATATATATACATATACAAGGTATCCGGAAAATCGCCTGCAATACTTCGGGAAATGATTGGAGATCCAAAAAGAAGAAAAACAGCTATATAAACATAGATCCAGAAATATATATATATAAGATCCGCGAATAAGTATGCATCAGGCTGTCTTAAAACAAAAAGAAAACACGTGCTTGGCTATTAAGTGTTTTTTCTTGCTCGTCTTTTGTTCAGGAAGACAGACAAAAATGTAAAAGCAAAAAAACAGTCAGTTTCCTTTTCTTGGTCGATGACAACAGATTAAAAGTTTATTTGCGCGTTCAATAATAAAGTTTGTTTTGTCTTTCTAAAATATATTTGTGTCTCTTGCACAAATGATCATACATTGTGGAGGCTCATTCGGGATGATTTTGTGCTAGTAATCTCCGGATATACATGTAAAAATGATTTTAATGACAAAGACGTGTAAAGAAAAGTAAGACAACGATACGTGTTAACGCGAAGAAACGCGTAAAAAAGAGAAGGTGACAACACATCTTAACGCGGAGACGATATGAACAATGAGACCAAGTGAAAACACGCAAAAGACAGAAGATGACGAACAAAATGGCGACCATGAGGAAAGAAATCGACTTAATGACTATGGACGAGATGAGACGAAATCTCGAGAGAATGAGACTTGAGATTCGGCGGAAGCAAAGCAGTGTTGAAGGAAAGATTGAGAGCAGCATTGACGAAGAATGGTGCGGGAAATGCATCGAATGCCGATGGAAAACAAGCTTGTGAACCAGACTGCTAGGAAGAAGAAAGAAGAGGAAAATAGCTAGAAACAGATACGAAGAAATATGTGATGAAGAAAGCGAATATAAAAAAACGATAAAAATGAAGGCGGTAAGGTTGACGTATTATCCAGAAATTTGCGAAGTTTAGGCTTTAAAGTTACTGGCAATAAGACGACGTTGCAGGCTAGACTCAGGAGAGCGTACAGAAAAGACGATAGCAGAAGACAGAGAGTGAAGATGACGATGACTCGGAAGAGAAATACGACAACGGAAAGAAATACGACTCTCGGTTTACTTCGGATTTACATGTAAACATAACGCGGATTGTTGAAACTGTTTTCGCAACTCGAGCCGAGTAAATTAGTAATAACTAAGTGCCGGAGTAATATTTAGTTACAGAATTTAGTTTGCTACAGAAGCTTGTTGCCGCTTGTAGCGAACACATATAAGTATCAACACACATCGTGATCAGACATTCCGAAAAAAGTGGAGAGTTGGAGAAATAGCAGATAACTAATAATTGTTATGAGATTCCGTATTCGAATTAGAAACTTGCGATTGCAGCAATCTATACTATGATAAAAATTCAGAATTTGTTTTTATTCTTTCTTATTATGATATCATCTGTGTCTTTACTCTATTACAAAAAAAAGTCAATTAAAAAAGTTGGAAGTTTTGTGACTAACTTTTTCTTTGCAGTTCCAATGCAAGCTATTGCTTGTACACAGTTTTATTCTACAAAAGTAAACTGATTTATCTATCCTTTTTTTATTGAAACGCACTGATAATTCTAAATTCTTATCAAGATGATATTGTACTTGGAAATAATTGTTGCATACTGCGTAAGCGTAATTCTGCATGATCATCGCAGACTATATATATCCGTTTTTGCGAGTTCTTCTTTCACTCTTCGTACGCGGTCAGATATGTGAGCCATTTGCTGTTTCGCGATACGACGATTTAATCGCTCAGATAATTAAATCACGTTATCGTTGTGTAAACAAAAAATAGGCTATGGTTTGCATATGCTTGGTATGCAAAATAAAGTGATTAGTCTTGTATTTTTGTAGTCATTTTGCGGTGAACACGTAT